GGCCCAATTTGTGTCTGATCTATAAGCACTGCGTCATCCACATAGAGAAGAACTGAAAGAGCCCTACCACCAAGCCTAACTGGAAAAAACTAAGGTCCTGTAAGAAATTACCATATCATTTATACAGAGCTTATACAGCAATGGAGCAGGAATACACCCTTGGTGCGCCCCTTTTGAACTTATAACTGAGTCAGACAACTGTCCACTTAGGCCTAGTCTAACCTTTAATAAGGTGTTAGTATGAAGTCCCTTAATGCTCTCCAGTAGTCAGCTGCCTCTGCTCAACTTTCATAGTTTTCTCCCGAGAGATTAAATCAAAGGCAGCTTTAAGGTCTATAAAATGTTTCAGCAGAAAGCAGTGATCCAAACTTGAAGAACTTAGCCTAAACCCAATTTGCTTTGTAGCCAACAAGGCATACTCAGACACCCATTACTCTAGTTGCATAAAGAGGTGGCTGGCATATGATTTTTCTTTCACCCTTTTCATAAATAGGAAGACGGGGACGGCAAAGGATGAGATGGTTAGACAGCGGAAGACAGGAGGGCCTGGCGTGATCTGGTCCATGGGGTCGCGAAGAGTCGGACTCGACTGTGCGACTGAACAACAACAACAATACTGGATGATGGCCATTCTTTGGGAAAGTTACCAGTTCTGTTCATATGAGAAAACATATTTGCCAGAACGGGTGCCCATCAGTCTCGAAAGGCTTTAAGACTATCTGGGGGAATAAGATTTTCCCCCGGTGCCTTATCACTCTTAACCACAACGATTAGAGATTTTCTCTCACTAGATGGAACAATTGGCCAGGTGGGCAATACACTTAATAAATGTGTCACAGGTAATTCTGGCATTTGCCTTGGACCATTAAATAGCTTGACAAAATGTTCTTCCCAGCTGTCCTTTGATATATTAGAGACTAATTCATAATGGGCTCTCCCATCCAAATTCTCAAGAAGACTTCAAAACCTTAACATGTCCTTCTGGGCTAAGACCAAAGCAAGGGTAGAGGACGGGCTTCACAGGACATGCAGCAGAGTGTTTCGTTTTGGTTGCTGTGGGTGAGAGACCAATGCAGGCAAATAAATGGATACTTACTGTGATTGTGAAGTAAAACAACACCCTACAAGAAGCAACAACTCTGCTGCCCCAGCATCAGATTCCCAGGGAGTAATCACTACTCCCTGAAGTCTTCCACTTAATGTCCTCCTTCCCCAAATTCAAAATTTCCAGTTGGGTTCCAACGCTTCCTGTAAGCTTGTGAGCAAAAAATCTACTTTGCGAGATACTGGCATTAAAGTTGTGAGTGAGTAATTTGGCTGCTGCGTCAATTAGTTTTCTCTGGAGCTGTCCTTCCTAAGACAAAAATCTGTGAGCTGGAGGCTCAAAAACTGAGAGCTAGTTCACACTAACTCAGCTTAGAGGGAACACTGGGTTACACCCTCTTTCTCTCCCCCCTCGGGGTCTGTTGGATATCACAGTCCAAGCCTGAACAGGGAGGCCCCTTCCGTCACCAGATCCCTGTCTCTAGGGCCTTTTCCAAGAGCAGAATGCAAGATCCATTCACACTAATGAAGATGGCCCCAGTATATTTATGGAATAATTCAAAATCTCAAACAGAAATTGAATTCATGGGGGGGAAATGTTCTGTTTTCTCAGAGAAAGTGCAAGAAGAAATGACAAAGGTCATCGGATCTGCTCAGCCACGGATTGAGCACCGAGCAAAACTGCCCTACACAGATGCGGTGATTCACGAAGTTCAGAGGTTTGCTAATATTGCCCCTACCACCTTGCCACATGCCACCACAGCAGACGTTACTCTTGGAGGCTACTTCATTCCAAAGGTGATCATTCTTTGCTTTCCATTCATTGATCAGCTGAATAGGGCACATTTGTGATTTTTTTTGCAACCAACATTGAGTTTCATGGAATAAGAGAGCCAGTTAATGAAGTTCTTCTACGTCCCATAGATTTGTCTAACGGAAACAATGGAGGTGCCTGACATTGCCTGGATTGTGCCCAAAATTTCAAATTCTGAAAACACTGTCCATTAAGTCTGTTTTTTAAAAAAATTGCATTCATTGCATGTGAATTCTCATTTAACTCTGTTTCTAAGATGGTATTTTCTTTGTCTGAAGGATAGTTAATGTGCTTGATGGGCCATCCCAATTTTCTTTAATAACTCATTGCTTTGCCTTTCCAGGGAACGTATATCGTTCCATTACTGTACTCTGTACTCTACGATGAATCCAAGTGGGAGAAACCCTTTGAATTCTATCCTGAGCACTTCCTTGATTCCGAAGGGAAGTTTGTCAAGACAGACGCCTTCCTGCCTTTCTCTGCAGGTAACTCCTTTTAGATTGATTGTGGGTTTAATTAACAGATCACATACCCAAGTCCATTGACTCGAAAGAACGCCGTCCCAGCTGACCATCTCTCACTTAGTCATTCAAGACTAGCATTACTCCTTATTACTGTTAATCATTCTGGTGCTATCTACTTTAATCTGCCTTCATGTTTAATTTTTTCTATTTATGGTAAATTACTTTGGCCACCGTTCCATATAACCAAGTTTAATAAACAGGGCTTCCCTGCCCCATCTGCCTTGTCACAGGTCGGCGAGTGTGTGCTGGTGAGACCCTGGCCAGAATGGAGCTCTTCCTCTTCTTTGCGAGTCTCCTGCAGAGATTCACTTTCCAGCCAGCCCCTGGGATGTCTAAAGAAGACTTGGACCTGGACCCTGGAGTTGGGTCAACTCTGTCTCCAATACCCTTCCAATTCTGTGCTTTGCCACGTTCTTAACATCCAACTATGCTTAGCTCCCCCATGCACACCACCGTCCTCTTCTGCACCTTTTTGCCTAATAAGGACATTTCAGATTCAGCAGAATCGGACTATGCTCTGTCACAAACATTTGTGTTTCATATGCCTATCTGTAGAACCCCTACAAGCTAGATCAGAGACATTACGATCTGGAAATCAGAACCTCCTGGTGGTTCCCGGCCTGATTGAAATCCGGCTGTCCTTGGCCAGGGCCAGGGCAGAGATGTTCCACCGGGCATTTGGTAAAGGACAGTGACAGCCTGGAACTCTCACACCTCGCGCCTCCCCACCAACATTATTTCAAGGGCACTTCTCAAAAGAGCTCTCTCAGCCTCACCTCCCTCACAGGATGTCTGTTGTGGGGAGTTGAAGAGAAAGGGATTGTAAGCCACTCTGAGACTACTGCGGGTAGTGAAGGGTGGGGTATAAATCCAATCTCTTCACTTCTCTCTTCTTCTTCTTCTTCTTCTTCTCCTTCTTCTCCTCCTTCTCCTTCTCCTTCTCCTTCTCCTTCTCCTTCTCCTTCTTCTTCTTCTTCTTCTGCATTTTACTTAATCCAGGGGGCAAGTGGATATTGGAAATTTATCTCCATCTTGGATTGTCCTGTTTTACTGTGGTTGTTGAAATTCTCTGCTGTTTCAAGTCTAGAATTGTTGTATTTTTATTGATGTAAGCCTCCCTACGCCCTGCTCATGGGGAAGGGCAGCCTAACAACAACAATTTTCTTCAAAATTTGGACTTCATTTCTCGAATTGTTTGCTATACAGAGAAAACAATGACAATGTTTCTGTATCTGATTTCTTGGATCAACACAATACAGATTTCTTTCAACTCCCAAAACAACTAAAGTGAGCTAAATCGATCATATCCTTCCAAGTGAGATCCTTCCAAGGCTACCAGCTATGTAGACAAAATAATAATTATTAGTGTTGGGTTTTAGAAATACGTATGGCCACTTGGCTTTCTTACCCATTCTGCTAATTCTGGAGTTTGTTTGGGCAATTACACTGCCTCAAGTCACAGAAGGATATGTAAAACAAAGACCACTGTTCACTGAATGAGTAAGGAAACCTAACTGACTTCTTGGTGGAACAATTTTGTGGGTGAGAAAGAGATGTGGAAAATTAAAGGTTCTAGCTTCGATCCCAGAGAACTCCAGACTGGCATAGTAGAATGGTAAGATACAAACATTCCAAACTTTCATTTATCCATTTGACTTGCACACAGTTGCTTAGCCATCCGCTTTGAGGGTGCTAGTAGTGTTATGTACTTGTTATTGTGATTATCAAACATTGCACGTATTAAAGTTCTTGATGTTAGTCATAATAAAAAATAATTTGCCAGTATATGACTTTGTCTTTGCTTCTATACCTTTTATATTGTACGAGCAAAATGGTTGCCATAGGTTTATGTGGCTACTATATTGCCAGCTCTTTATCATCTTCAGACAATAGTTCCACTAAACAGGAGAAAGTTGGGAATCATCTAACTAGGGCTGCCAAATCCCCCCAGCGTGCACGTCACAGGGAAGTGACATCATGATGCCGGGCACGCTGGGGGCGGGGCCACGGCCATACAAGGGAAAACTCTATGGTTTTCCCTTGTATGGTCGTGGCCCCGCCCCCAGCGTGCCCGGCGTCATGACGTCACTTCCCTGTGACGTGCATGTGGCGCGCGTGCGTGCTCCGGGAGCCGCACAAGAGTCCCCCGCCAGAGAGGTCAGTAACATTTGGCAACCTTACATTTAACTTAGGTTGGGCCCAATCTAAATCACCAGGCAACCTCTTCCAGAACCTTTATGTGAATATTGAGCCACATGGGAAACAGAATGGCTATCCCACCAGGTCCCGCATATTCCAGACTCAAGGGGCCAAACAGCAGTCCCCCAAAGTCTCCTTCTGAAACCTTCTGTCCAAGTGAGAACAGAACCATCACAGTGTAGTGCTCCCAGTACCCGCTCTGAAAGGATACCATACTCAATCATATCAAAGGTTTCTGAAAGAATTAATGGATTCCACTTCCACTGTTTCTGAAAAGTACTGAGACTGACGCATCGTTGAGTGATTTTCAGCTCATACTTTACTTAGTGATTTCAGAAAATAGGAGATACGGTCGCTAGCCCACAGGCTGCTTATATCACACCCATTACCATACCCGCACTCGTGATAGGCTATATACAAGGTTTACCATCCTATAAGTTCTCTGTAGAATCCCTACTTGCCAGTTGGCAGGGTTTAGGATCCTAGGGCTCTATTGTCCCTGGTATCGAAGCTTCACTAGTTTGTCGGGTCACGTGGCGGCCTGACCACATGTGCAATTCAGTCAGTACACAACTGTTTCTGTCCCAGTCAGAGTCTACAAGGCTGCCTGTGTCCCAAAACCAGGTTGGAAGCCAGACTACAATGTGGACATCTGATCGATTTCTTCCAAGAAGGCTTGGCATTGTTCAGCCAGCAAAAGGGGATAAAGCCAAGCGAAAGGGCCTTTGTGTGATGGGAAAAGGACTCCTGGGGAGTGTTGACATGGGCTGTGGGCCTACTGTAGTTGATGTAAGTGGAATTCCTTTCGGTTTCAATTTTTTTAAAAAAGAATTGAAAGATTTGTGAGATGAGGGCAAATTACTTGCCAAGCCCTACTGTGTGAATGAAAATCTGTAAAAACCCTTGAGAGGTAATACCCCAATTTGATACCTCCAAAAACTTTCCATCTGCACTAAAACTGAAAGGCGAGGAATGCCATTTGTCCACTATCAGTGCGCAAAACTGCATCAGCTGTTCCACTTTCCCCATCAACATTAACTGGAGCAGCAGGGAAAATGGGGGCCAGGACTGGTACCCCTCGATGCAATGTCAGTCCTGATGAAGACTGAGAACTGCCATCAACCATGTCAAGTGGCACTCTAGGAATCCCACCAATCTATGGTCTTCACCTCACAGATCAGAGAAATCCCTAGAGCGGTGGGTAGCAATAGTTCTTGGCTTTTACCCAGAAGGTATGTTGTCATGTTGGGTGACACCGGTTTCAGAAGGATCTGCCCCCAAGCCTCCTGCCAGTGGGCAGAGAAAATGGAACTGGGTGACAATCATGACTAGATCTAATGGGTGGAAATGACAAGGGAGTCGTTACTGGCTAAACATCAGGAGTAACTCCCTAACTCTAAGAGTGGTTGAGCAGTGGAACAGTCTGCCTCGGGAGGTGGTGGATGCTCCTTCGCTGGATGTTTTCAAGCGGAAGCTGGACTAACATCTTTCGGGTATGTTGTAGGGTTGTAGGGCTATCTTTCAGCGATGTTCCTGCAGAGTGCAGGGTGTTGGACTAGATGACCTGCAAGGTCCCTTCCAACTCTAACATTCTATGATTCTATGATATGGATGTGCGTGTGTTCATGCGTACATGAAAAGCTATTACTTCTTCTAGGTTCACAGTGTGTAGGATTTTTTATTTTTCTTGAAAGTAGCCATCTAAAAATATAGTAACGTGTGTGTGTAGAAGAATTTACATGCATACGCCCTATACATTAAAAAAACCCTGCTATTAATAGAGGGCAGCACCAATTAGCAGGAGGTTCATTATGCTGGGCATGTGGGAATCTTTCTAGAAGCCAATTCCCAACATTCTGTACCAGATTTAGTATGTCCAGGAAACAGAAACAGAAAAGAGCTGAATTTCCCACTGAAACCAATGGAAATAACCATGGAATTGAATTCTTAATATTAACTTCTGTTATGATATTAAAATCGACTCAAGTATTTGCCACCCAAGACGAAATAAGAGACAGACACAGGTGCTGGGTTTAACTATTGGGCCGCTTTATTAAATGACATCTTAACTGTAACCAACGGCAAGGGCGAACAGTTCAGCGGTATGATCAAGGCCCGGGGGTCTCCGACCCCTTCCTTGACTTTGACATAGGGCGAGCCACCCAACCCCAGGCTGGAGCCATCAGCAATGGCTCCCGCCCCGCCGGTTAGCCATTACAGGACGACCCCATAGCCCCAACTCCCGAGCTGCTAGGTTCAAAGAGAGGACCAACAGGGTGTTCCACCAGGAAGTCTGCTTTCCCCGCCCCGTGCCGCTAGGCACAAAGGCTGTACTCACTAGACCCCTTTTAACCCAAATTATGGGTGTTGGCTGGTGCTCACCGTACCGCAACCTACCTACCACCTAGAACCCTGCCAACTAAAGTGACCAACCTAACCTAACAGCCCGTCCCTAAAAAAACACCTTCACCACTGCTGTAGTACAGGGTAGGCAAAAACACCCCCTCCCTGTTCCAATCAAGAGGGGGCGAAAAATTCCTACCCGGCCCCCAAATGGGCGACCAGCCAAGCCTGCACTAGGAACAGGGCGGGAGGGTGGGTCGACGACTCCGCGAAACTGTTGCCGAGCAGGGAAGGGGGGCCGGCTTATAACTCCTTGGCCCCTCCTCCCCCTTAGATCCAACTGGGCCAATTATGGCCCGCCACGATAGCCTGCCTCTTTGTTCTGGGCGGCAAATATGCCTCCCCATCCCAACGGCCGTTCAGCTGAGGGATGTTGATCCGGCTTGTCATGAATCCTGAACCAAATCCAACTCTCCCGCTCTCAGTCACTCTCACACCTTCCAGGTCATAAGCGGTAAGGACAGATTTTGAAAAATGGGAAATTTATGGCTGAGATCCTCTCATCCTCCACCACGTTGGTGTTCCTCTCCACCAAGTAATTTATTGTGCGCCAGGATCCTTGCAGAATTCCAGTGAGAGCAAGGTAAACCATACTCACACTACTGGCAAGATCTATGAATTAAAGTCAGTTTATAGCATGCTGTGCTAGCAATGATGAACAACCCAGTAATGAACATAAAAACATGACTTTACCTCATTGGGGTACCCTTAAAGATTGTTCAACGTCAACGGCAGGGAGCGAAAGCAGGCTGGATCTTCTCAGTGACGGCAAGGAGGAAACGGGCATCCATTGATATTCCTACTACTGTGTTGGAGACTGTAGAGTCAAGTACGCATGAACGGCACCTGATCTAATGGGGGACGGCTCCTCCCGACGTCTCTCCCACCTCTAAATTCTCATAAGCTGACCATTCATTCTTTATGGGAGAATTTCTTTGTGGCTCTGATGTGAGTGTCATTTAAAAAAAAAAAACTTAGGAAAAATAAACCTTAGTTGCCTATGTGGCTAGGTCTATTTAGGGAGACTTTTTAAAAAAGAGAAGTCCTGTGCCTGCCCTGCAACCAGAAAACTAGAAGATTAAATGAAACCATGATGCTTTTTAATTAACACTGAAACCATTAAGTGTTTACAGTGCTGAAGAAACTATATTTTTGTTTGTTAGTTTAAAAAGCAGCCATTTTATTTAGAATAAAGAATTTCCTTTTACTTCACAGTCACCCCCGGGTGCTACTGTTCCATCATTCTACCCAATGAAACTAAGCCATTCGGTTCATTGGGTTAAACCAAGAAGTCTACAGGTGGCAGCAAAGTTCATCAGGAAATGCTACGGAAGTCAAGGAGGGAGCATTATACAGGACATTTCAGAGCATCACAGAGAGGTGCCATTACAGGTGTTACATAGCAGTGTCGTACAAATCCCTACTCCTATATGTGAGGCCAATGAAACAGACGCATAGGCTGGAGTCCAAGCGGAGAGACCACTTCACTGCAATATCGTAAGAGCAGGGTGCTAACGGGCACGAACAAAGGAACTGCTCCACCCACCTATAGGTGGAAGATATATTTATAGCCCTTATGACTTCACAGTGACATGTTAATACATTAGCCCGTCCTAAGCCCCGGTCACACAGGCCGGAAAATGCGGGGGGAAGCGTGGCTGTTTGCCCCGGAGCACTCAGCAGTTCACATATCCTGTGGAGGTCCCGTCGGTATGCCCTTAGGTGCCGATCACACGGCTATCCTGCAGCGCGGCAAAGAAGCGGCACAGCGGGATTACACTGGCAATCGCTAGGCGCCGCTTCCATGGCAAACGGGAATTTTGTCCCCTCACCACAGTGTGCGCATGTACCGGTGGGCGTTTGTGCGCATCCTGTGGAGACTTAAAAAAAAAATCTGGTTTGCAACGGGACATGGGCAGGCGCCGGATGCCATGGGGTTCCAGCGGAAACGCGATCAGACGCCCACCCTTGCCCCGCATTTTCCGGAAACGAGTACATCGTATGTGGTGGTTTTTTACTCCGCGTCTTTGGCAACAAGCCACGGTGCCACGGGTGCACTACGCTTCCCAGATGTTGTGGTGTGATCGAGCCTGGAAAATCCGCCTATTATCTGTGTCTTCAGCGAGGCAACTTCTCCGTGTGAACGGGGCCCTAATAAGGTTATATACCTGCCAAAAGGTGCTTCTTACCACCTGTTGCTTTACAATTGGCTCTTAACTGTGGTGCAGCAGAAATGCATAGCACCTGCCTGTGTCTGCATCACCTACGTGTTACATGTACAGCGTGTGGTTGCATCACTCTTTCCTCTATTTAACCCCTGATATTACCTTATGGATTTGCTACTGTTTCTTGTATTCTACTGCCTACATGACCAGTATATCCTACAGCAGGGATTAAAACACAGAGGAGAAAACATTTCAGCTGAGTTTCAGTGCTCTGTCATTATAAAGTCTCAAAATTCCCACATGACAATTTGTAATCTCAGGGGATGTGCCCGGTGAAAGCTAAGAACAGTTTATATGAAAAACGGCCAAGAATGACTGAGTTACAGCAGTCTACGTATTCTGCTGTCTTTTCAATAATTTTGCGTCCACCGCAAACTTACCTCAGTATGAATCGCCTCATTCACTCCCCATGCAAAGCTTGAGCCTGACGAAGGCTCCTCCGAACCGCTTTCTCATTGGTCGCCCTCTAACAGCGACCAATCAGGGACTGCACAAGCCCCAGCGAGGGAAAGACTCTCATTGGTTTTTAAGTACTCAATCTCATTGGTTGTTATCTGTAAATAGGCGTGGCTATATTAGCCCGGTAATGTTTAAAAGGAGCCTAGCTCCCAATGTTAAGCTGTTCTGGTTTTGGAATACGTTTGAGTGTTTGTTCGCTACTTCAAATAAAGCTGAATCACTGAGCTGAAATCATTCTCCGATCCTTTGTTAGCTTCTTTCTGCTTAGACTGTATCAGAAATCAAATGGTGTTGTGAAGTGTGCTATTGTGAAAATGGTGAGGCTTTCTCCTCTTTGTCTGAAATTTGAGAGGCAGGAGGATCCCTCGGATACAAGGTTATCAGTCACTCCAAATTTTATTCCGGGTGGATTGGGGGGGGGGATTATAGACAGAAATAGGTCCCCCCAATTTGAGATAATTTGAAATAAATGAATAGATCTTTTTAAAAAAGATGTGCAATATCAATAACAAAGATGTAGGATGTTAACGTTGCAATGAACCAACAATAAGCCACTTCTTTTAAACTTTTATGCACATCACTGAACTCCAGAGGTGACTGAAGTCGCACTACAGAAAAACAAGGACATCCCTGAAGCAAGTGTCTTAACATTTATTTCAAAATATTTGTCATGTATTCAATGGGAAAACAGTTCCAAAGTCATGTTCAACTGTCGGAAACTTCTCAATAACAACAAGTTTGGTAGTTAGCCCAGTGATTCACTGGCAACACTAATCTTTGGGCCCAGTAGATAATTAACTAGCATGGCCTTCCAGATAATATTGTGATGAACTTTCACTCAGGAGTCAAAAGAGTTTTGACCTGTCCTATCAAGCTTCTATTTGATGAATTAGACACCACCCATTCAAACAGAGCATTTTTATAGATCAGGCACACAGCAAATTGGAGAATATTTCTTATAAAAGCCATGGGTTGGACGATTGGTGAGAGCTTATACTGGGCCAGGTCTATATAAAGAAAATTGTGCAGCTCATTTCAGGCGACAGAAACAGCCCTTGATCAAAATCCATTGCAAATTTCTCTGTAACCTCCACAAGCCACTTCTTGTTAGTGCAAAATGGATTGGCTGGATCCTATTTCTGTGTTGTTCCTACTTGCCCTCGCACTTGCATTCCTTTGGAAAAGGAGTGATTTCTGGAAGGGCAGTGGCAAAAATCTCCCACCAGGACCACGCCCATTACCGCTCATTGGAAACCTCCACCTCATGGATGTGAAGAGGCCTTACAGAACCATGTTCAAGGTAACCTTCTTGTTCGTTTTGTTCTAGATCCCTGTCTTGTGCTGATCTCGTAGGGCAGAGAGACTTTAAGTTTCTCCATCCCAAGTGTGAGCATTAATGTTAAGACAAATATATGTGTCAAAAGGTCATCAAACCCAGCCCTGGCTAAATGCCTTTCTCCAAGAGGGCAGCAGATTACAAAATATTGGTGTGCACCTGTGGACACCTCAAGTGGGAACTCAGACTCTCTAAAAACTATTCTGATTGATTCCATGCAGCTGCATGTTGAATATCAGCATGTGGAAGGTCGGTAGTTAAGCAGTTTGAGACCCGAGTGTGCCGCATGACGGAGTGAGCTCCCGTCTCTAGTTCCAGCTCCTGCCAACCTAGCAGTTCGAAAGCAAGAAATTGCAAGTAGATAAATAGGTACCCCTTCGGTGGGAAGGTAACAGCATTCCATGTGCCTTGGTGTTTAGTCATGCCGGCCACATGACCATGGAAACGTCTTCGGACAGCGCTGGCTCTTCGGCTTTGAAACGGAGATGAGCACCGCAACCCTAGAGTCGGACTGGACTGGCTTTCGAGCGAGGGAAACCTTTACCTTTACCTTTAAAGGTGTAAAACATTAACAAGGTTGCTAAAGGCTTCCACTTTTACATAAATTTGTGTGTAGTCTTTAAATGACATGGGTTCTATTAAATTATCTTCTTGTTCCATTTTCTATTATTACAGCTTAACTTCTTTTTTACTTTCTTCAAATTATCCTGGAACAAAGAAGTTAAGCTGCAATCATTTGAAAATGGAACCAGAAGATAATTCGAAGAAAGTAAAAAAAGAAGTTAAGCAGTAAAAATTTGAAGTAAAAAAGGGTTAAGCTGTATCAAGAGGCTGACACCTTTCAATATAATAGGATTACTCCCGAGCAATATTCCCTCTAAGGTGTGGAGTCTTGTGAGCAAAAATTCTACTTTGTGAGCTACTGGCATTCAGGCTGTGAGCAAGCTGAATTATGCAGTAATCCTTCCTGAGCTAAGACAAATATCCATGAGCCGGAGGCTAAAAAAACTGTGAGCTAGCTCACACTAACTCAGTTTAGAAGGAACACTGCTTTTGAGGAAGATTGGTGAAATGAGTTTATAACTGGGTGCTCATTGAGGAGGAGGAGGAAGGAGGGAGGAGGAGGAGATTGGATTTATACCCCGCCCTTCACTAGGAGTCTCAGAGCGGCTTACAAACTCCTTTCCCTTCCCCTCCCCACGACAGACACCCTGTGAGGGAGGTGGGGCTGAGAGAGCTCTGACACAAACGGCTCTTTTTCAAGGACAGCTGTCCCAGAGCTTGTGACTGACCCAAGGTCACATCAGCAGGTGCAAGTGGAGGAGTGGGGAATCAAACCCGGTACTCCCAGATTAGAGTCTGCACACTTAACCACTACACCAAACTGGTGTAGAATGAAGGATGATGAACTTTTCCTTGAAAATGTTAGAATTTCCTTAATAAATATTGTAAAAGTTTCATTTGTAATATAATTTGATGTTCATCAGATTGATTAAATATCATTGTCATTTTTATCACAGTGTTTGTTTGTTTGATATAGATCCTAGGGTTGGCAGCTGCAGGGAGAAGAATGTTGTGTCCCTTTAACAGAAGGCTGAATATGATCTTGTTTACCTCCAAGCAATTAAAAGCCTCAATAGCACATTTCCACCCATAAACTCCACTCCAAACTCTCCAAAAATTTCCCATCCCGGAGTTGGCAACCGTAGCCTCTATTAAAGATAGGCTTGCCAAGTCCCCCCGGGGGGTGGGGAAACCCCCGCCCCAGAGGCCTGTTCCCCGCCGGTGGCGGATCGAGCCCCGGGGGGAACCCCACCCCGATGTGCACATCACTCGGAAGTGACACGACCACGCTGGGCACGCTGGGGGTGGGGCCACGGTCATCCAAGGGAAAACTCTATGGTTTTCCCTCGGATGGTCGTGGCACCACCCCCAGCGTGCCCAGCATGGTCGCGTCACTTCTGAGAGACATGGATGCGGCGCGCACGCGCTGCGGCGAAAATAATATTTGGCAACCCTAATTAAAGAGACATTTCTGGCATTTTTCTTAGTAAAAAAAAAAGCCAAATGTGTCTAGTATTTTTATCGATACTATCTGGCAACCCTAGCTGGAAGATCAGAAGTATATTTCTCACTTACCTTTCATTGCATTTCAGTTATCGAAGCAGTACGGCCCTGTCTTCAGCATCCAAATGGGAGTCCAGAAAATGGTCATTCTGTCAGGCTACAAGACTGTAAAGGAGGCTTTGGTGAACCAGGCAGATGCCTTTGCGGACAGGCCCAGGATCCCAGTGTTTGAAGACTTTGATGAAGGCCATGGTGAGGTCATTCTTTCTGAAGAGTAGCTGGTCTTGCTTACATATGTAGAACTTACAGCCATGGAGAGTCTGTGCCAAACATGACCCTGGGAGAGATGCAACCTGGGGATTTCCTGTCTATAGAACCGGGCTGGCTTAAACTGGCCTGATACAAGCACTCACACGCACACCCCCGCAACCCCGAGGGCAAAGAAGAGCCCCAAGAAACTGAGATCATGGAAACAGCACAGGGGAAAGGGTTCAAAAACAGAGGCACAAGCAACAGTGGCTGTGGATTCATTCCTTCATTGTATGAGGACTTCCCTCATGCAGCTCTTTCACTATCTCCATATGACGAAACATTCGGAATTTCATCTTCAGCAGTTCCCTGACAGTTCAAGGCCAGTTGCCCAGGCTAGCTGGATCTCATCATATCTTGGAAGCTAAGCAGGGTTGGTCCTGGTTAGTACTTGGATGAGAGACCACCAAGCAGTGTTCCCTCGAAGCTGAGTTAGTGTGAGCTAGCTCACAGTTTTTTAGCCTTCAGCTCACAGATTTTTGTCTTAGCTCAGGAAGGAGGGCTCCAGAGCAATCTAATTTATGCAGTAGCCCAATCGTTCGCTCACAATTTTAATGCCAGTAGCTCACGAATTAGAATTTTTGCTCACAAGACTCCACAGCTTAGAGGGAACATTGCCACCAAGGCACTCCAGGGTTGCTATGCAGAGGCAGGCGATGGCAAAACACCTCTGCTTGTCTCTTGCCTTTCAAACCACTTGGGGTTGCCACAAGATGGCTGTGACTTTACACACACAATACAATCTCCCATCCCTGAGTAATGAATAGGAAGGCTAGTTGCAGGGAGAGAGAAAAGGAAGGGGTAGACATATTGAAGTTCATATCAGAGGAGGAGGAGAGATTGGATTTATACCCTGCACTTCTCTACCCAAAGGAGTCTCAGAGCGGCTTACAATCCGTTTCCCTTCCCCCTCCCCAAAACAAACATTGCATGAGGTAGGTGGGGCTGAGAGAGCTCTGAGAGAACTGCCCTTGAGAGAACAGCTCTGAAAGAACTCATGACTGACCCAAGCTCGCACCAGCAACTACACGTAGAGGAGTGGGGAATCAAACCCGGTTCTCCCAGATTCGAGTCCGTGCTCCTAACCACTACACCAAAGAAAGAAGTCATGATGGAAGAGTGCTCTATCCCTGGCCGTGCATAAAGGATGACTGCACAGCCAGCAAGGACAGAGTAGATGGGGTGAAGCTGCAACCTTATCTAAGACACAGTTGTAATTCTGGGAGATCTTCTTCACAGCCTTAGTGGGGTGACGTAGAAACGTGACTGGTTATAGAAGAAGAAGAAGAGATTGGATTTATACCCCGCCCTTCACTTGGAATCTCAGAGCGGCTTACAAAGTCCTTTCTAGGGCTGCCAAGCCGCGGCGGGGGATCCGTACGTCTTCACAGGATCCCTGCCATGGGGGGACAGCAATACACGTTGCACCGCCGGCGCCAGGATGTGATGCTATGCGTCGCTCTTGCAACGGGACTCCAAACAGCCCCGTTGCCAGAGCGACGCGTAGCGTCACGTCCTGGTGACGGTGGTGCAACGTGTATCGCTGTCCCCCCGCGGCAGGGATCCTGTGAAGACGCACGGATCCCCCGCCGCAGCTTGGCAGCCCTAGTCCGTTCCCTTCCCCTCCCCACAACAGACACCCTGTGAGGTGGGTGGGGCTGAGAGAACTCTGACACAAACTGCTCCTTTTCAAGGACAGCTGTGCCAGAGCTTGTGACTGATCCAAGGTCACATCAGCAGGTGCCAGTGGAGGAGTGGGGAATCAAACCCGGTTCTCCCAGATTAGAGTCCGCACACTTAACCACTACACCAAACTGGCTCTTATATGGACAGGAGCTCATTCAGTTCTCAGGGACAAACAGTGGGACCCACTAAGCATCTTATTTCTTTCCCGTATCTCTGTCCTGCTTTTGCTTGTTGTTGAAAATATTTTGCAATCAAACAAGGAACTTATCTCTCTCCTGCACCCCATTCAAAAGATTAGCCTCCATTAGTAGGTGAATGTCTTAGATTCCCCAACCAGGCTGATAGGTCTTCTATGGTCCAAGAGCCAAACACTGAGGAACCACTTGCTGCTCTGCATATCAATATAATATTATATATAGTATTTCTCTCCAGGTATTGTTGTTTCTAATGGTGAGAACTGGAAAGTGATGAGGCGGTTTGCACTAACCACATTGAGGGACTACGGAATGGGCAAGAAGACCATAGAAGACAGAATTGTCGAGGAGTGCCGTTTCCTAATACAGACGTTCGAATCTTTTGAGGGTGAGTTTTGTGTAGTGGAGCAAACAATATCCAGTTCCGTTTGGCTGACGGCCTCTTTATTAGCTGTAACTGTAGGACAGGTAACTTGGCTATTAGAATACGGAATACTCAGCTAAGTTGTTTATAGACCTTTAGACAAGGGTAAAGGTTCCCTTGCTCGAAAGCCAGTCGAGTCCGACTCTCGGGTTGTGGTGCTCACCTCCGTTTCAAAGCCGAATAGTCAGCTCTGTCCGAAGACGTTTCCGTGGTCATGTGGCCGGCATGACTAAACACCGAGGCGCACGGAACGCTGTTACCTTCCCACCGAAGTGGTACCTATTTATCTACTTGCAATTGCTTGCTTTCAAACTGCTAGGTTGGCAGGAGCTGGAACTAGAGACGGGAGCTCGCTCCGTCATGCGGCACACTCAGGTCTCGAACTGCTGAACTACCGACCTTCCACAGCCTGCAGTTCAGCGTCTTAACCGCTTGAGCCACCGCCGCTCCCTTAGGCAAGGGTAGTCCTGGCCTAGTTCTGCAGGTTCTTAGTAGGCCCTGCACTTCTGCAGACTACTAGGAGGGAGACTGAGAAGACTATTGGAATAAGGAGTGACAATACCTAACTGTTTCTAGAGCTCAAAGCCAGGGTTGTCCTGGCCTGGTTCTGCAGAGAGACTGAGAAGAGAAGCACTGAGCCCCTCCTGCTCTCCTGCTTGTTCTGAAGCCTACTGGGAAAGCCTCTTAAAGAGACAGTACACAACACCCCTCCCCTCCAAGTAGAATATTCAGCCAGACGTTTTTGCTGCCTCTGTGGTCTTCCCCCTTGGCTTGATACAGCTGCGGTCTCAGCAGAAGAAACCTCCTCCACCGGTAACTCAGTAATAAGACCACCACTCCCTTGCGATGAAGGAGGGTAATCATTATTGGCACGATCTGGATGGCCTCCTCCAATTAATTCTGGGCCTGATGGTGGGTTCCACTGAAGAATTAGGAGTGTCCGTGTGAGCACACAGTTGGTCCACGTGACGTCTCCATAACAGTCCATCTACGGTCCGCACTTGATATGTGAGAGGTCCTGTGACATCCACTATTTTAGATAGAACCAACCATGAATTGTGAAAAGTATGCACACGGAGAGTGATTTCAGCTAGGCATACCTTTATTTAGTCAGGAACAAGACACCTTGGCCGGCTCGCAGGCCGGTTTATTTTCCTTCGGAAACCCACCACCAAAACACACCTCCACTCCCTGATAGGCTATTTACAGTAACCGAGAGACCTATTGGCCTCACGGTTTGGGACCTAGCCATCTGATAGGGCTGGCTAGGATCCTTCTGGCCCATTGTCTTTAGATACGAAGCTTGAGGTTTTGTCCCTGGGCAAGTCCGGACATGCCCGGCCTTGTCAGGGCTGGATACACTACAAATTGTTTCCATTGTTCCGAGCCCATATGGTTCCTGAGGAGAGAAGGTACACGAATGCCTAGATGTCAAAGTAGAATACAGCTCCTGTTCTTTTTTAAGAGTGCAAGTCGCTTGCAATATTAGTGTGGACATGATCTAGGCATGTCTTGAGTGATGTCCCAATAAGCAACTCAGCTGAGCTGGACCCAGTTGAAGAGCAGGGTGTAACATGTTGTGCCGACAGGAATCTTGGCAATCTGGTTGCCCAGTCCCCAGAAATGATCCTTTTCAGTGTATCTTTTGTAGTCTGTACAATTTGTTCTGGTTGCCCATTTGCTTGGGGTCTATTGTGATAGCCTGAATGAGATTCGTATTAGAGAGAAGAAGAAGAAGAGTTTTGGATTTATACCCCGCCCTTCACTTGGAGTCTCAGAGCGGCTTACAAACTCCTTTCCCTTCCCCTCCCCACAACAGACACCCTGTGAGGTGGGTGGGGCTGAGAGAACTCTGACACAAACGGCTCTTTTTCAAGGACAGCTGTGCCAGAGTTTGTGACTGACCCAAGGTCACATCAGCAGGTGCAAGTGGAGGAGTGGGGAATCAAACCCGGTTCTCCCAGATTAGAGTCCGCACACTTAACCACTGCACCAAACTGGCTTGGAAAATTGCACAGGTGAAAGTAGCACCATTGTCTGAAACAATGTGTAAAAAGTTGGTGGAGAACTGTGATGGCAGCATTCGAGGTTACAGTTGGGACAATGACTACTTCAAGCCAGTTTGAAAATGAATCCTATATATATATATATAAAAAAGGCAAACTGTGTTGCCAATGACTCATTCTTGACGTGTTGCACCTTGGGAGTCGTAGTTCTCAGCTGGCCTTACTGCAACCATAGCAAAGGGAAGTAAAACTACAACTCCCAATTTGCGAGTCCCCAGAGGTCATGGGGCATTAGGAGGGTAAGTAAGAAGAAGAAGAAGAAGAAGAGAAGAAGAGATTGGATTTATACCCCGCCCTTCACTTGGAGTCTCAGAGCGGCTTACAAACTCCTTTCCCTTCCCCTCCCCACAACAGACACCCTGTGAGGTGGGTGGGGCTGAGAGAACTCTGACACAAACTGCTCTTTTTCAAGGACAGCTGTGCCAGAGCTTGTGACTCACCCAAGGTCACATCAGCAGGTGCAAGTGGAGGAGTGGGGAATCAAACCAGATTCTCCCAGATTAGAGTCCGCACACTTAACCACTACACCAAACTGGCTCTGCTAGCCAGTGTTAAAGGGGAAGCAGCCTTAGGATTGAATGGGGTACTCGCCCAGAGCCTCTTTCTAGAGCTTGTTGTATTTATTCCCACAATGGGCCTTATTCCTAGTCCAGGATAATTAGGAAGGTTTTGCCATGAAAGATGCCAGCAAAGTCTATGTGGAGATGACACCAAGGTACTTAGGTGTACAGTTGTGTGTAAGTTGGGTGCCATTAAGGTAGACATTCAGTTCATGGTTAGGTAAGATTGTTTTTGTGATGGAGATAGGAGCATTTTGTTTTTCCTGGACTTGGGATAAACTGCAATTTATGGTAGAAATCAGTCAAAATGTCAGTGTCCCTTATCAATATTTCCTCAGTCCTTTCAATTGATTTGTGCCTTACTGCAATTCCCATGTCATCAGCATAAGCAAACGTCCTAGATATCATCTCAGGAACATCAGAGATGTATAGATCGAAAAGAACTGAACTGAGGACCGAGCCCTGGGGTAGACCATTATTCAGTTTCTTCTACTTGCTGATTGACTGGCCCATAATTACTCGGAAAGGTCTAACTCTCAGCATGTTATTTAGGAGTCTAAATAACGTTCTGCAGGGAAGCACTTGTAAAACGTGTGCAACAAGTGTCATGAGCAAGAGTCAGATCGATGTTAACTGCTGATGTCTTAAGACACTTCTGATACCCTGCTTCAATGAAAGTTGTTAAGCTGAGAGCCCGGTCTTCAAAACTACGATGGGGTCTAAATCCTGCTAGCTCTATAGGGGCATATTCATTAATTCTATCACTGATTCTGTATACATCAGAACATTTTCTAATTCTGATATTTTATTATTAAAACCCAATTTCTTATCTTTAAGGTATGTTGACTCCAGTTGTGCCTTCTGCCACCAAGATAAATATTCTGGAATCCCCTGACACCTCACAGTCTTTAGGGCAGGTGAATTTCAAAATTTTGAGTTATTTTTTTTATCTTGATTGTAAAATCTCGATCCTTCAGAGCTCTGGATACAGACACCAGTTGGGCAGCTACCAGGTTTAATGTTACCTTCAGATTTCCTCGGAGTACAGGTGGGCTTGCATCTAGTTTTTTCAACAATCTCCTGGTCTTCCTACTGGAATGTCTGAAATCCAGATTCACATTTGCTCAGGTCCATTTTTGTCTGTGTGCAGCATCAAGTTCATGGAGTACTTCATCTGCCACTTCTGGGTCTTTGCCATCGAGGAAATTTTGGTACAGCTTCTCACTTTGATTGCTCCAGCCTGGAATATATTCTTTCTAATATCCTCAAGGAAGTGGAGAAGTGGGATACAATACATAAAAACTTTTATGTAAAAAGATCAAGATTGACCATGCCTTTGGAAGCATTCACTTTGCCTACGGTGTATGCAGAAGAAGACTCACTAAGATACCAGGATATGTTGGATTAAAAAGACAATTTTAGTTATCCTCATTTCATCATATACCATGGAGAACGTGCAAAATTTATTGATAATCAGAAACTGGTTTGCTGAATGATAAGATTTTGAACCAAAAGGCATACAATAGAAAGTTTTGTGTAGTAACTGAAGACATCACCTGTGTGAGGGTGGGATTAAATGAATGGCATCAGTATTGATGCAGTTTGTTTTTAAATGCATGTTTTAAACTTTTAACTGATTATTTATTATTGTGTTGTGTGGCCGAATGGCCCAACTGTTGTTGTGATCCACCCTGAGCCCATTCGTGGGGAGGGTGGAATATAAATTTGAAAAATAAATAAATACCCAGTTCCGTTTGGCTGAAGGCCTCTTTATTAACAGTAACTGCAGGACAGGCTGGGGTCATTTTCTGATGGCGCAAGCTGGAGCAGTGCTCCAGCAGTAAGGAGCCCAGGGCACACACACCCCCGGCTGTCTGGGGGGATTTAAATGCCTTTCCTTCTCTTCCCCAGATGGGGAAGGGAAAGAAAGGCATTTTAAACATGCCTGGGTTCCCTGCCTGATCTTCTCTAGGTGCCCTGCGGCTGCAGGGCATCTGGAGAAGACTGGGTAGGGAACCCAGGCATATCTGCCTGCCCACCCTACCCTTGCCTTCTCCAGCCAGCCCACCACAGGCTGGGGGGGGAGGGGAGGTGGGCAGACATGTCCCTGTTCCCCCCTCAGCCTCTCCACCTTTTCTTGAGAAGATCAGGCAGGGAACCTGGGCATGCTTGCATGCATGCCCTTTGTCAAGGGTTATGGCATATGCAAATGAACTCCTGCACGTCTCTTTCTACGAAATGAGGACAGGTAATTTGGCTGTTGAATAAGGAATAACAATACTTAACTTAAGCTGTCTCTAGAGCTCTAGACCAGGGTTGTCCTGGCCTGATGCAGGCTGCTAACAGGGAAACTGAGAAGAGAAGCACCGAGTCCCTCCTATTCTCCTGCTTGCTCTGAGGACTACTAGGATAGCCTCCTCAAGAGGTAGTTCACAACAGTGAGTTGGCTTTTTATCCTTGACTTCGGGAGGCACCAAAAACACCCGAGTCATACTTTGATGTGGTCCCGTCTAGAATTCCCCCTCTCTACACTGCAGAGAATTCTGTGTCAGCACAGGATAGGTGATAAATACTCTCCAAGCATATGCAAGCTAATGCATGAAGCACAAGTGATACTGATGTTAATTCCATAACATAATGTTTCCATTGTAATATTAATTCTCTAGGGAAACCATTCGAGACGACTACAATCATGAATGCGGCTGTTGCCAATATTATAGTGTCCATTTTACTCGGCAAGCGATATGAATATGAAGACCCCACGTTTGTAAGATTACTGAACTTGGTCAATGAAAACGTCCGGCTTGTGGGAAGTCCCTCCGTCATGGTAAACTATTTAAAATTCGGTTTTAAAATGGTTGAAATCCCAGTACAAACAGTACAGGCAGGTCTGTGTACATATTCATGCCTTTAAAGATTCACTGCACAAACTCAGGACTTCATAGCAGATGCAAAAATTGTTCTGAGAAACTGAATTGAAATGTTTCAGAAAATATATGGAACAGTCCTTTTAAAGCTGGGCCACTTTAAGTCTTGCCAGGTCCTCAGGCAACCCCTGTTGCTTCCTGATGCTTGAACCAGTAGTGGGAGAGAGGTTTTTAAAAATGCCAGTGTTGCAAACAACATGGTGTCAGTTATGGTTTTGCCAGGAAGTGATATCATAGCATGTGCAATGCCAGCAACTCACTCTCATGTCCCCGTTCCTAATATCCCGGTGGTTGTACAGCCTGGTAAACCTAATCACTGCAATGCTTGGAAACCAGCAAGAAGAAGAAGAAGAAAAAGAAGTGGAGGAGGAGACTGGATTTATACTCTGCCCTTTACTACCTGAAGGAGTCTCAGAGCAGCATACAACCTCCTTTCCCTTCCCCTCCCTTGTGAGGTAGGTGGGGCTGAGAGCGCTCTAAGAGAACTGCCCTTGAGACAAGAGCTCTGAAAGAACTTGTGACTGACCCAAGGCCACGCCAGCAGCTGCATGTGGAGGAGTAGGGAATCAAACCCGGTTCTCCCAGATTAGAGTCTGCACTCCTAACCACTACACCAACCTAGGAAGGTTTGGGTGGTACACTGTGTTAGGAGAAATCCTCTTTGGGAGGATTAACCCTTTGCCCAAATCTGTCTTATGTACGACAGGGGCTTTAAGGGGTTCTTGGACACCAGTGTATACAGAGATTAAAACCAGAATAGACACTCCTTATTCCCCATAAAGAGACAACACAGCTGGATGTTTAAAGAATAAATGTTGTCTTTACTGAATAATATTGAAATTCACAAGCATACAAACAACAGATTCGTTCACACACACTCACAAGTTCCTTTAGATACAGTAGAAATGGAAAACAATCAGTATGGAAAATAATAAAGCTTTAACTAATTGGAGGTAAACACATAAAAGGGTGACGTTGATACTTATCTGATCCAGAAGATAGAGTTTGATCTTCTCAATGAAGAAAGCAGGAACAAAAGATCTCACTAGAGGAACTCTACTTCACACGGGTTGGAACCAGCCAACACGTGTGGGCTTCCTGGCTGCAGTCCGAGATCACTCTAGAATTACCTGGAGGAGAGCGTAAGGTGCCCAAGTGGGGGGGGGGGGGTAGAGATGGCTAGCTAGCTGGCTTGCTAGCTGGCAAAGCTTAAGTTGCAAAAGGTAGAGTAAAGATGGCTAGCTAGCTAGCTGGCAAAACTTTAGTTACAAGGTGGGGTAAAGGTGGCTAGCAACGAACAAAGGATGAACATCGCCTTTTAAAACCTAGTTTGGGGGTTGGCATCAGTGCCAATCTCCTGTCCTCAGTCCGTCCCATCCCCTATACCTATTGGTTGCTGGGATGTGACGTATCTATCTAGAGGGAGTGGGCAATATTCAAATCTAAGCCTATACCTCAATGGAACCATTTGGTCAAGGTGTCAAAGTTGCATTGCCATGGAAACCTTTGATGTGTTGATGCTCTGGCTTGGTCCAAGCAGTAAACATGAAGAAGTCACTTTCAGATGCAAACCAGATAGAGGGTTACGTGTTATCCAGAAATCCATCCATGGTGGAAAAACTGTTGTTTGTAAGAGTCCTTGTGGCTGAGCATAATGGAGAATGCCTTCTTGTTCCCAAGGCAGGATGGGTAGGTGTGTGTGTGTGTGTCTTCATTAGCGTACCAATGCAAGCAGAGCAGGCCAAGCACATAGCATAGCAGCTTCCAGGTGCAGACAGACCGAAGCAAGAAAATCACACAGCATTCCAAAACCCATACACACAAATGCAGGTGCATTCCATACACATAAGCATCAGCACAATACAAATAAAATCCGATTGCAAGCACATCTCCTAGCAACTGTCACAGGAGATTTTCAAAACACTTTTGAGATTTCTGCCTCAGCTGTAGGATTTGGAGATTTCTTTATCTTTCCTTTTCTCATATTTTATTCTTTTAGCTGTACAACATGTTCCCTTCTCTGGGTTTTCTTTCTGGGGGTCGCAAGACTGTCCTTAAGAACAGGGACGAACTGTACGCCTTCATACAGGCCACCTTCATAGAACACCTCAAAGAACTGGATGTGAACGACCAGAGGAGCTTTATCGATGCTTTCCTGATCAAACAGCAAGAGGTAAACATGCCGATAATCACAGGTGATTTTCTCTAACCCGTTGATTTAAGGACTCTTTGCATGAGAATGCCAGGCCAGCCGACAAGGAACCTCGCTTGGGGGAGGGGGGAGCAGCCCATAAAACCAGCTTGGATTTCCACAAGAAATACACAAATTTAATATGCAGCACAATCATTATTCTGCTGTCTCTAATTCCCCAGTTGTCTTTCCCTTTATGTCTCTACAATGAAAAGGTGACACTAACTTTAAAGAAGAAAAAGAAGAGGAGAGGATATTGGATTTTTACCCTGCCCTTCACTTGGAGTCTCAGAGTGTCTTACAAACTCCTTTCCCTTCCCCTCCCCACAACAGACACCCTGTGAGGTGGGTGGGGCTGAGAGAGCTCTGACAGAAACTGCTCTTTTTCAAGAACAGCTCTGACAGAACTATGGCTTGCCCCAGGTCATCCAACAGGTGCAAGTGGAGGAATGGGGAATCAAACCCGGTTCTCCCACAGTTTATTATTTTCAATGTTAATATAATATAGCACAATATGAATTGTCCATTTTGTAAAAAGCCGTCCATTGGAGCGTGGGTTGGGGGGCTGAGACAAGGAAAATGGTGGTGACGTGAGAAGTAAGAAATCTCTCTCTGCTTACTCCGAAATAATCTAGACCACTGTAGGCTCTCTTGTACTGTAGGGTGGCTGGCAGGGTCAGGGTTTCTGTTAACAGAAATCTAATACATATTATTGGCCCGTGGGGGGTGGACATAAAACTGAAATACAAGGAAATAAGAACTAGAACTTGTTTTTATTTTTAATTACAAACAAAGGTATATTTTAAAATATACGTTGGGGGGGAAATTGAAAAATACAATTTGGTAGCGTACGAGGTACTTTAACAGAAAAATTTATGTTGTCAACGGAAACGCCCCTTCGTGTATTTTTGTTTGTCTGTTTTATTTGTTTTATGTTCTGTCTTGTATGGAAAAATAAAATGGTTGAACCATAAAGAAGGCTTGACAGGAAACTGTCAGAAGTTCAAGGTGGTGGTCTTCACCCATAAAGAGAATTCTAAAACATATTGTTGGCCCATTGGGGGGGGGGTGACAGCCCGATAGCCAGAAAATCTTCCAGGGTGGGGCTTCAGGATTTGGGGGGGGCTTTGGGATTTTGGGATTCACCAGTAGTGACTCCCCCTCATGGATCACTGCCTTGTCGTGGCGAGGGGGCTTGTGTGGTTCGATGAAGCTGTGGGCTATGCCGTGGAGGGCCACCCAAGACGGACAGGCCACAGCACATAACTCAGACCAAGAGTGATCCACTGGAGAAGGAAATGGCAACCCACTCCAGTATTGTTGCCAAGAAAACCCCATGGACAGTATCAAAAGGCTAAAAGATATGACGCCGGAAGATGAGCCCCTCAGGTCGGAAGGTGTCCAATATGCTACTAAGGAAGAGCAGAGGGCAAGTACAAGTAACCCCAGAAAGAGTGAAGCAGCTGGGCCAAAGCCGAAAGGACACTCAGTTGTGGATGTGTCTGATGGTGAAAGGAAAGTCCGATGCTGCAAAGAACAATACTGCATAGGAACCTGGAATGTAAGATCTATGAATCAAGGTAAGCTTGACGTGGTCAAAAATGAGATGGCAAGACTGAACATCGATATCCTAGGAATCAGTGAACTAAAGTGGACAGGAATGGGCGAATTTAACTCAGAAGACCATTATATCTACTACTGTGGCCAGGAATCTCGTAGAAAAAATGGTGTGGCCTTTATAGTCAACAAGAGAGTGCAAAAGGCAGTACTGGGATACAATCTCAAAAATGACAGAATGATTTCTGTCCGATTCCAAGGCAAACCATTCAACATCACAGTAATCCAAGTCTATGCCCCAACCACTGATGCAGAAGAGGCTGAAGTGGACCGGTTCTATGAAGACCTACAACACCTCATAGAACTAACACCAAAAAATGATGTCCTCATCATCATAGGGGACTGGAATGCTAAAGTAGGAAGTCAAAAGGTAACTGGAATAACAGACAAGTTTGGCCTTGGAAAGCAAAATGAAGCAGGGCAAAGGTTAACAGAGTTTTGTCAAGAGAACACACTGGTCATAGCGAACACCCTTTTCCAACAACCTAAGAGACGACTCTACACATGGACATCACCAGATGGGCAACACCGAAATCAGATTGACTATATAATTTGCAGTCAAAGATGGAGAAGCTCTATCCAGTCAGTAAAAACAAGACCTGGAGCTGACTGTGGTTCAGATCATGAGCTACTCATTGCAAAATTCAGACTTAAACTGAAGAAAATTGGGAAAACCACGAGGCCATTCAGGTTTGACCTAGATCGCATCCCTGATGAATATACAGTAGAGGTGAAGAATAGATTCAAGGGTCTGGATTTGATAGATAGAGTGCCTGAAGAACTATGGACAGAGGTTCGTGACATCGTACAGGAGGCAGCAATCACCACCATACCAAAGAAAAAGAAATGCAAGAAAGCAAAATGGCTTTCTGATGAGGCTTTACAAATAGCAGAGGAAAGAAGGAAAGCGAAAGGCAAAGGCGAAAAGGAAAGATTTACCCAACTGAACGCAGATTTCCAGAGAACAGCAAGGAGAGATAAGGAGGCCTTCCTGAATGAACAGTGCAAAGTAATAGAAGAAAACAATAGAATGGGAAGGACTAGAGATCTCTTCAAGAAAATTGGAGAAATCAAGGGAGCGTTCCATGCAAAGCTGGCCATGATAAAGGACAAAAACGGTAGGGACCTAACAGAAGCAGAAGAGATTAGGAAAAGATGGCAAGAATACACAGAAGAACTATACAAGAAAGACCTCGATGTCCTTGACAACCACGACGGTATAATCACTGACCTCGAGCCAGACATCCTGGAATGTGAAGTTAAATGGGCCTTAGAAAGCATTACTAACAACAAAGCTAGTGGAGGTGATGGTATCCCAGCTGAGCTATTCAAAGTCTTAGAAGAGGATGCTGTTAAAGTTCTGCACTCCATTTGCCAGCAAATTTGGAAAACGCAACAGTGGCCACAGGATTGGAAAAGATCAGTATACATTCCAATCCCAAAGAAGGGCAATGCCAAGGAATGTTCAAACTATCGCACAATTGCACTCATATCACACGCTAGCAAGGTCATGCTCAAGATCCTACAAGCTAGGCTTCAACAGTACGTGGATAGAGAACTACCAGAAGTACAAGCTGGGTTTCGAAGAGGTAGAGGAACGAGAGATCATATTGCCAACATTCGCTGGATTATGGAGAAAGCAAGAGAGTACCAGAAAAATATCTACTTCTGCTTCATTGACTATGCTAAAGCCTTTGACTGTGTGGATCACAACAAACTATGGCAGGTCCTTAAAGAGATGGGAGTACCAGACCACCTCACATGTCTCTTGAGAAACCTGTATAAGGGCCAAGAAGCGACAGTTAGAACCGGATACGGAACAACTGATTGGTTCAGCATAGGAAAAGGAGTACGACAAGGATGTATACTGTCACCTTGCTTATTTAATATATATGCAGAGTACATCATGCGAAATGCTGGCCTGGATGAATCACAAGCGGGAATTAAGATTGCTGGGGAAAAGATCAACAACCTCAGATATGCAGATGATACCACTCTAATGGCTGAAAGTGAAAAGGATCTAAAGAGCCTCTTGCTCAGAGTAAAAGAGGAGAGCGCAAAAGTGGGCTTGAAGCTCAACATCAAAAAAACTAAGATCATGGCATCCGGCCCCATCACTCCTTGGCAAATAGAAGGGGAAGTCGTGGAAGTAGTGACAGAATTCACGTTCCTGGGATCCCAGATCACCGCAGACTGTGACAGCAGCAATGAAATTAAAAGACGCCTGCTCCTTGGGAGGAAAGTGATGGCGAACCTAAACAGCATGATAAAAAGTAGAGACATCACCCTGCCAACAAAAGTCCGCATGGTCAAAGCAATGGTATTCCCAGTAGTCATGTATGGCTGTGAGAGTTGGACTATAAGGAAGGCCGAGCGCCGAAGAATAGATTCTTTTGAACTATGGTGCTGGAGAAGACTCTTGAGAGTCCCTTGGACTGCAAGAAGATCAAATCAGTCAATCCTAAAAGAAATCAATCCTGACTGTTCCCTGGAAGGCCAGATAATGACTGAAGCTCAAATACTTTGGCCACCCAATGAGAAGGGAGCACTCACTGGAGAAGACCCTGATGCTTGGAAAGATTGAAGGTCAAAGAAGACGGGGACGGCAAAGGATGAGATGGTTAGACAGTGTCATAGAGGCAACGGACATGAAATTGAGCCAACTTCAGAGGACGGCGGAAGACCGGAAGGCCTGGCGGGATCTGGTCCATGGGGTCGCGAAGAGTCGGACTCGACTGTGCGACTGAACAACAAAAAGTAGTGACTCTCCTCAAGGAGAGCTGAAGAGGAGCCAGGTGGCAGAGTGGTGACTGGAGAGGGTTCCCCCCCCCCCGCCTGCCAGCCGGCAAGCCAAGCGCAGGGAGAGAAAGGAAAAGAAAGCCGCCCCGTCACAGCAAAAGCATTCCCCACTCCTCCACTTGCACCTGGCTGGATGGCCTTGGGCAAGCCGTAGCTCTGATAAAAGCTGTTCTTGAAAAAGAGCAGTTTCTGTCAGAGCTCTCTCAGCCCCACCTACCTCACAGGGTGTCTGTTGTGGGGAGGGGAAGGGAAAGGAGCCGCTCTGAGACACCTTTGGGTAGTGAAGGGCGGGGTATAAATCCAATCTCTTCTTCTTCTTCTTCTTCTTCTTCTTCCACCTTTCCCTTCACAGCAGCCTGGGCTTCAGCCATCTGTGCTCTGTGAGGTTTGCCTCCTCAGAGTTACTGACCTCTGCAGCCCAGTCCTCAGTTGCAATTCCAGGATTGTCCTGGCCAGCCAACAGCACCAGACAGGAGGAAGGAAGGGATCAAGCAAGGAAGGAGTCAAATTATGCCGGCAGCCTGCTTCAGCGCGTTGTTGTTGAACTAAATTCAAAGTAATATTTTTCTAATAGCTAGGAGGGGGCTGGAGGGGCGCTCTGGGGACTCACTGGTACTGGGGCTTACCCCTAATCAATAGGAGTCTGAGCCCCTAAATCCCCATCACTGGCTAAGGCCCCGGGGATGAATCAGAACAAGTTTTTTTTAAAAATCCTTATCTTGGGATTTAATTTGCTTCAAATTTAAATGGGGCTTTACATCAAAAAGCTGCGAGAAAGAAAACTAAACCTGTATTGGGGGTATTCTGCATTTCTTTCGGAAAAGAATAAGGAGATATGTACCAGGTGGTATTCTAAAAGCAATCCCTAGAATCATAGAATGTTAGAATTGGAAGGGACCTTGCAGGTCATCTAGTCCAACCCCCTGCACTCTGCAGGAGCATCGCCGAAAGATAGCCCTACATACCTACAACATACCCGAAAGATGGTCATCCAGCCTCCGCTTGAAAATGTCCGGCGAAGGAGCATCCACCACCTCCTGAGGCAGACTGTTCCACTGCTCAACCACTCTTACAGTTAGGAAGTTTCTCCTGATATTTAGCCAGTATCGACTCCCTTGTAATTTCCACCCATTAGATCTAGTCTTGCATTCCGGAGCAAGAGAGAATAGATCTGCTCCATCTTCTACATGACAGCCCTTCAAATACTTGAAGACTGCAATCATGTCCCCTCTAAGCCTTCTCTTTCCCAGGCTAAACATACCCAACTCTTTCAGCCTTTCCTCATAAGACTTGGATTCCAACCCTCTCACCATCCTGGTTGCCCTATTATCTTATATGGGGTTCCAAAAAGAAATAAGGTGGTCATGAAGTCTATTGATTTTCAACTTCTTTACTTCCCCCAAAAGCTGCTAAACATTCCACACTGGGTTGCTGTAGCGGCTTTGCGTATCAAATTTGGTCGGCCATCGCTGGAAGCTAGGGCATGGATATTTGCATTTCATCTATGCTTAAAAAGTTAATGGCTATCTGGCTTTATTGAAGAAGGATCCTTATAAATCATCAATGCTTAGGATCATGGACAAGAAATGGTCAGCTGTTGCTTTTACCACACAATTTATCCAGGCACTGATGCTTGCTGAATCAGTAAATTTAATTTAAAAATGGATTAGGCAGATTGATCATAACAGTTCTATTATTAGTCCTGGTCTTCTCAAAGCCTTTACTCTTACTAGAATGAATGCCCATTCAACCGTGTTTATGAGAGGCTGTTGTTCGCTTGGTAGAATAGATACAATTTCCCACATTTTATTGGAATGTCCTTTATATGCCAGCTGAATATGTCATTTCATTTTATACTGGTAGGTGGATTTCTACTATTCTATTCCAAGCAGGGTGGACCTATTTCAGATCAAAACCCTAATATAACTTTGGATGTTACAAAAAAAAATATTCCTTTTCTCTTTTGAGAAATAAATAGAGATTGCAAATGAAATTTCAGATTGTTATACTGCTCAAGGCATTGAGCCAGAGTTGTAATTGGACAAAGGAAAGGAAAGGAATGCTTTATCTCTTCTTATCGCCTAGGAAAAGAACAAGAACCAGCGCAATGGATTTTTCCATAATGAAAACCTAAAAGTTGTGGTGGGGAACTTATTTGGCGCTGGCACAGAGACCACTTCGACTACCTTGCGTTGGGGCCTATTGCTGATGATGAAGTACCCTGAAATTCAGAGTAAGTCCTTTCCATTGGCTGGTTTCCATTATTCTAAGATATCTGGATTCCAGTTACGCATAGAGGTCAGAACGGGAAACAATCTGAGACTGCTGTTGAATGTTACCTGAATGAGGGTGAACAATACGCACCTGTGAGTTATACTTCCTGTTTTTTCCCATCTGGTGTAATATTACAGAAGGGGTGGATTGAATTCTCCTCTAAAGTCGCATCTGTTGTGCCCTTCCCCAAGATCCCAATCATGTTTAGAGAATGACCGTTCACCTTCACTCACTCAGTGCCAAAACTATTACAGTGGCCATGGAGACAATTTTGGCAACTTAAAAACAAAAGGAATCAGTGAGGCGGCAAGGGTGGAACTTACTGGGGGGGGTAATTAAATATAATAACTATTATTGTCGTATGGCAGTGTCTGTAGAATATAGTTGCAAGAATGGGCACAGTAATAAGACCAAAAGAAAAAAGAACGGTGACAATTTAGCACTTGGTACTATATTCATAAATCATAATATACAATAACAGAAAATAAGTAATGTATATAGTGAATGTAGATGGTGGTCTCCGGAATGGTGTGCTGCTTCGACAATGATCTTCTTCTGAACAAGGAGGTGTACATAAACTGTCTTTCAACGATTCATTTCTCTTGGTGACGTATTGAAAATATACTGTTGATTCGCTTCATCATAAAGCTATGCTTACAGCTATGTTCTTCAATGGGCTATAATTGCTGAATGTCTGTAGAATAACCAGGGGAGCCTAAGATTGGCAGCCAGGAGTTCTAGCTCTTTTAGCTTTATGCACCATTAGGTGGCAAGCTAGACATTTTTAAAGGCTAGAGATGTTTCAGAGGTGGTTTACCATTGCCTGCCTCTGCATCAGGACCCTGGTATTCTTTGGAGGTCTCCCATCCAAATACTAGCTAAGGCGGACTCTACTTAGCTTCCACGATATGAATGGATCATGTTAAGTCGTGAGCTTAACAAATAGTCGGAGAGTGATTTCAGCAAGAACACAACTTTATTCTTCAACTCGAATACTTCTCCAACACGGATCAACATCTGATAGCCAGAACAGCTTTTACATTGCAGCTGTCCTGCTTTTAAACATTTCCCGGCTAATATAGCCACGCCTATCATACACATAACAACCAATACGACTGAGCGCAAAAGAGCCAATCACGATCGTTCCCGCTCGGGGACTTGCTTGAAGTGATTGGATACACTTTTCCTGGGCTAGCGATGTCATTGGCTGTATTGGGATCCTAGCCCAGGATGAAGCTTAACATTGCTTCCTTATGAGATGATTCACAACAGATCCTGCATTCAAGACAGCTTTGAGTACATTATAGATCAGGCTAGCCTGGGCTACTCAGGTCAGGGTTACTGGGGGGGGGGGGTTTCCTCGCCAGTGACCCACTACTGTCCCTTCCAGTTTTCACCAGTGTGCATATGGCTCGCACAGAGCAATCCCAGCCCCCCCAGCAACACGCTGATATCACTACTGGGCACACATTATTTCTAGGTGATTTTCGAACTGGATACAGAACATCCGTACTAAACAACGTGCAAAAGATTTAATCAATGGGATCTTGACAAATGGATTCAAAATAGAAAAAGGAACCCATCAAGGATGTCCCACTCTCTCCTCTTCTCTTCATTCTTGTGATGGAAATCTTTGCTTCTAAGCAGGGCTCATTTCGTAGAAAAAGAGGTGCAGGAGCTCATTGGCATAGCTCATTAGCATAACATATTTGCATACGCCACACCCCCTGACATCAGTGGAAGTGTGTCAGAAGGCAACACCCACCGCTCAGGCTCCACTGGACTGTTTTGGATTGCTAGCTATGGGGGGGGACGCGCAGATCTGCCCACACAGAGGAGGGAGAGCTTGTACCTGAAGGTGGGCCGGGGGTGGTGGTTCTGCAACTTACCTGGTCGCTTCTTGCTCCTTGTGGCCCGACTGAGGGCTACTGGGAGCAGGGGGCGGGGCTTGTTGCATGTGCCCGCCCCCTGGGCTCCTTACTGCCGGAGCTCCGCTCCTGTGCGCTCCCGCAGGAAATGACCCCTGCTTCTAAAATAAGACAAGATTCCAAAACTGAAGGATTAAAAGTAAAAGGTGAGGAGTTTAAACTAAAGAGTTATGCAGATGTGGTCCTTACAGTTTTGAACCCCCAACTATCCTTCAACATGTTATGGAGTAAATTGACAAGTTTGGACTCTTTTCAGGTTATAAAATCAACAGGAAGAAAACCAAGATTATTTAAAATTTTTCAACTACTCAAGAAGAAGAAGAGATTAAGAAAATTTCAGGATGTGACATAACAAACAACCCCATTAATTATTTAGAAATATATATCATGGGACAGAATGATACACTATTTAAGAACAATTACATGATAACCTGGTCCATAATACAAAAAAGATTTTGAAAGATGGTCTTTTCAAACCATTTATCAAGTTTTTTCCATCTTTTTTTAAATAGAATTTCATCTTTTGCCAACAAAATCATATTTAATTTGTCCATCTCTCTTATTTCCATGATTCTACCAATTAACTCCTCTCTACTCGGTATTTGTTCCGACTTCCAGCATTTTGCTAAAAGAATTCTAGAGCTGGTAAGGATGTACAATATCACACATGTGTCATTAAATTTAATCCCTTCTGGTAGCACATTCAGTAAGTATACTTCTGGATCCAACTTTAACTCTATTTCCAGAATTGCTGTTATTAGCTTTTGTACTCTTTTCCAAAATTTTACTGCTTTCTCACATCTCCACCAAACGTGAAAATATGAGCCGACATTCTTTTTACATCTCCAACAGTTTCCCGAAGCCCTTTTATAACACTTTGCTACTTTATCTGGGGACCAATGCCATCGAAAATGCATTTTGAAGATGTTTTCTTTGTATGCGGTAGCTTTTAACAATTTTATCGACTTCCAGGCTTTGGACCACTTTTCTATGCTTATTTCCTGTCCCAAGTCTCTCATCCAAGCCCTCATGCTTGGTTTTATAATTTCATCTTTCGTCTCTTCCTTTAGAAGAAAATTGTATAGCTTTTGAATTAATTTGTCTGATGATGACAGCCAAATTTTATCTAGCTCTGTCTTAAGTGTTTCAAAGCCTCTTCTTCTGTCTTTAGCAAACCTAGATTTTAACTGGTTCTTTTCCCAAGCTGTTAAATTAATATTTAATTCTTGTAAGGTCTCAGAGGGTTTTAGTTCTTTTTCTTTCGTTAATAGTGTTTCGTAGCTCACTTTCTTGTCTTCAGTTAATAAATTTGGCAAAATAAAAGCTTCCAATGGTGCGACCCATCCTGGAACCTTGCTGTAAAACTTTCCTTTTAAATTTCTCCAAATTTTAAACAATGCGCCTCGTAATATATGGTTTTGGAAGTGTTTTTGTATTTGTTCTGTGTCATACCATACATAGGCGTGCCAGCCCATGTATAGGTCATGACCTTCGAGTTTTAGGTTTCTTTCATTTTTAGTAGTAGCCAATCCTTTATCCATCCCATGGCTGCAGCCTTATAGTAAAGTTGCCAGTCCGGGATGGCTAGACCCCCTCTTTCCTTTTTGTCCCGTAGTAGTTTTAATTTGATCCGTGGTTTTTTAGCTTGCCAAATAAACTTCCTTGTTATTTGATCTAATTCTTCAAACAGTTTATTGTTTTTCACAATTGGGATAGTTTGTGCCAAGAACAGGAAGCGTGGTAGTATAGACATCTTTATCGTGGCTATTCATCCCATAAACGAAATGTGTAGGTCTTGCCATTTCAACAGATCTTTCTTAATCTCTTCTAATAAAACTTTGTAGTTGTTATCATATAGTTGGATGTTTTTGTTTGTTATCGTGATCCCTAGATATTTTACTTTATTCACCACTTCCATGTTTGTAATTTGTTGTATCTCATTTATTTCTTTCCTATCACAATTTTTTGTCAAGATCTTCGTTTTCCTGATGTTAATTTTTAATCCTGCTATTTTTCCATATTCTTGTATTTGTTTCATTAGGTGTGTGACAGACGTCTTTGGTTCTTCCATTATAAAAACCAAATCATCGGCGAAGGCTTGCAGTTTAAATTGCTCCTTTTTAACTCTGAGTCCCAAAATGTTTTTATCATTTCTCACCATTTCCGTTAATGATTCTAGTCCAAAAATAAACAGAAGAGGTGAGAGAGGGCATCCCTGTCTTGTTCCTTTCTGAATCGGGATGTTCTGAGTTAAGTCCCCATTCACAACTATCTTCGCCCATTGCTCTTTGTAGATCGCCTTTATCATTCTCCCAAAACTGTCTCCGCAGTCCCAAAGCTTCAATTTATATTGTAAAAAGTCCCAGTTGACATTATCGAATGCCTTCTCCGCGTCTAGGAACATCAGCGCTGCTTGTTTACCCGGGTTATATTCATAATATTCTATCGCATTTATGATAGTTCTTACATTCTTTTTAATCTGTCTTTTAGGAAGAAATCCGGATTGGTCCTGGTGTATCACTTCCGCCATTACTTTTTTGAACCTTGAGGCTAAAATTGTTGCGAAGATTTTATAGTCCGCATTTAACAGTGAGATCGGTCTATAATTTTTAATTTCTAATCCATCTGTATTAGGTTTTTGGATTAAAGATATTGTTGCTTCCTTCCAGGATATAGGTATCTCTCCTGTTTTCATGATGTTGCCTAATAACTCTTTCAATGTGGGCACAATTTCCTCCTCAAATTTATGAAAGACTTCTGCTGTTATTCCGTCTGGTCCGGGCGATTTTTTCTTCTTCTGTTTTTTAAGCGCTTCTGTTACCTCACACATTGAGATTTTCTCATTTAACCACCTTTTCTGTTCTTCTGTAAATTTTCCTTTGTTATGTTTCGCCAAAAAATTTTCTAGCTCTGACTGCGTGCATGGCTCCAACTTATAGAGATCACTATAAAATTTTTCCACGATTTCTTTCAAATCTTGCATACTAGACTGAGCTTCTTGTTTTTCGTTTTTTAAAGTTATGATTGTTCT